CTTGCTTTAGAAGCTGAACGTCTCCTGAGGATTGCAAATAGCGGATTATCAAATTAATTAGTTAAACCAAGATGTGCTTTTGTGAAGCCAAGACCTGCTTTACTTGTGATCTGAAATAAAGGTTTAAATGTTATTAAACTGCATACAACCTGTTCTTGTCTCCCAAATGGGGGGAGAGAACTAGTTCTTTCCTGAAGTGTGGTTGGTACAAAGGGCTGATTGCACCTCTACTTGCTGCATCACTTGTTGCCTTTCTTTCACAAACCCTGTTTTGAGCAAGATCTATCCTTGTTTTTAAGGCTTGTTCTGGGTGGGGTCTAATGCTGCTTCTTGGCAGCTTCCTCTGTTTTGCAGGCTGCCAAGTTGAAGGGATATAGGGTTGGAGCTGGACTTCAATGATCCTTGTGGATCCCTTCCAAGTTAGGATATTCTGTGAGGGTTCATCGTGGATAGCTTGGTGGGATTGGTAACATACCTTTCCTTTCAGGGTGCAGCTTAATCCATGGGATATCTGTATTGCCATGTTTGTGGACATGGGAGCTGGTGGAGAGCCCCAGTCTGGTGATGAGATGCCTGGAAGTAGATTCAGACATCCACTTATCAATGGGTTAGCAGGAGCCATATACCCTGGAGTAGTGCTCTCCCACAGCCCATTCCCAGGATCTCCATTCCCTCAGAAGTCCCTGGGGCCACAGGAGGTTCTCTGTGCTGAGGACTGCACCAGTGATCACTCTAAGCTAACAGGGAGCTCAGGGGGGTATTTTCCTAAGAGCTGTTGGCCACAGTAATATAATCATCCTGCTAACATCCATATTGCACAACTTCCCCTAGGTCAGGAGATGTCCTTATCTGGCATCTAAAACATCTGTCTTGTGTTGTTTCCAGCACAGCTGAATTCTATTCATAAAAGAATTGAGCATTTCCTGATTTGCACAACCAAAAATAAGCAGAACTCTGCTAAGTGTTGACCCAAAGGCAGAGGTCCTTTCCCTGCCTCCTACCTCCGTCTGTGCTCTCTCCCAGCTCGAGGATGTGGTACTGCTTTAGGCACTTGAGAAATACTGCAACTCCAGAAACCAGATCCAGGAAAGGAGAAAGGAACAGAGAGGAAAGATATGAGAGTCTGAAATTAGAACCTCTGAAATTTTCAGAACAATTGGACTGATCCCTCTTCTACCACCTTTTCTTTCAACTCTGGGGAGGACCTACAGCCTTCCAAGGGTGGCTCCCATCCTTCCTAATGCCAGCATTTGCTGCCTTTTGCTGTAATTCACCTCTAGGACAGGCTGTGCTTAGCAATGGTCAGCTGCTGCTGAAGGTGGGTACCAAAGCAGTCCCTTGGGAGTAAAATTTTCCCTCAGTCCATGCAAAGGAGCTGGGTCTGCGGGATGTGAAGTTGGGGCACTCAGATTTCTGCCAGCATGGATGCCAGCAGCCTTTTGCAGCGACTTCAGCAATTAAACCAGCCCTGAGGAACGCGCAGGCCTCGCGCGAGAGCGAGGAGCTGCTCCTGCGAGGAGACAGAGTGAGACTGTGCTGGGAACAAGCGTGGCATTGTTGTCAGCCTCAGTCAAGAGGGGCTGTTTAACACCCACTGAAGTGCTGGCTACAGCTGTCTCCCATGTGCTTGTGCGGGAAATGGATCTACAATGCAGAAGAGGGAAAGGCCACTTTGCAATTAAAAAAAAAAATGGAAACTATATAAGGAACCAGCCATGAGCAAACAGTAGTGTGATGTTCCCCTTAGCACCGTGCCATGGCAGAGGAAATCACATCACTGCCTCTGGCTGGGGTGGGGGTGAGCTGAACTCAGGTTCTTCAGCCTGGAAATCCGTATGGGGGAAGGTGCTCCTGAGCTTTAAGTGCAGTGTAGGAAAGGGAGGAGGTGTGAGGTTGGGCTCTAAGCTGCTCTTGTGTTTGGCAGCCTCTATAAATGGTGCTGCCAACTTCCCTGCATCCTTCTGAGTGGTGTTGGCTTGAGAGCTTGTGGAGATGATTCTTTTGTCATGGGAAATGGGGTAGGAACAAGGCTCTGAGTACCTCTATGGTGCCTTCCTCATCTGTTTATGGGGATGCTGCAAGCTCCTGTACCACTTTTCTCTTTCTGGCCATCAGAGAGCTGAAATTAGGTGGCTTGGCAGTACCTTAGCAGGTAATTCAGAACTAAAGGAGAAGACAACCTTGTGCTCCCGGGCCTGTGCTGCTCACCCTGGATCTGCTGCCAAAGCTCTGAGTGTAGGAGACCTGACCAGTTCAGTAACAGGATGGGAGCAGGTTCTCTGCTCCATCCCCTTCATCCCCATGGGCTGTAGGGATGTACCAGTCCTACCTGGCTCTGCATTGCCCTTTGTGCTGCCTGGGGAGCACATGTCTCTGTTTCAAAGCTGAGGTAGCTCCTGGCGTGTGCAGTAGCCCTTCTGAAGGAACAGGAGCTTTGGCCTGCAACTGGAAGAGCCCCAAAATGCCCAGGCTTGTTACCCAGGCTGCTGATTACCACACTTTTTTGAGACTCCAGATCTCTATTTGAAGACTTGTTCCTCTGCAGAACCCAGGGTAATTGCAGTGACCTGTTTGCTAGATAAAAATAGTTGTGTGCAAGGCTGGTGCAATCACACATGGTATAATTTTTGGGGTTGTCCTGTGCAGAACAATGAATAGCATCTGATCCTTGTGGGTCCCTCCCAGCTCAGGATTTCTCTATGATTCTGCAATTTCTGCTGCCCTGGGCAGCCATGGCCTCTTGAAAGGAAACATAAATGTAATGCTGCAGTTGTAGAAACAGTGCATAAAACTGTTTCTACAGTTTTCTGTAAAACATCTGGGTGTGAGAGGCATGTTAGATCTCTTCTACCTCCTTTTATTCTGTGATGGGGATATGCCTCCAACAGAAATAGCCTGGTACTTCTGATAGCACAGGGCTTGTCACGGCCAGTCACGTGTGTGCTGCAGAGACATCACTCCTGCTCCCTCCTCTCTGGGAGTGGGCCAGTCCCTAGGGAGACTCCCAGCACCTGCAGGAAGATATTGCAAAGGTTAGCCAAATGTGGTCATGCTCCTTGTGTGGGAGATGTGCTGGAGGAATAGATGAAGGACAAAGCTACTCTGCAAATTTACAGACCCAGGCCTTGTACAGACCCTGAAAGCTGTGATCAGAGGCTCTGCTGGGGAGGTCTGCCAGGCTCCTCATCCTCCTGATAGGAATATGAGGGGGAAAGTGGCTCTCTTGCATGCACAGACAAGATCTAAGATCTCAAATTAGTTGTTGCAGATGACAATAACTAGGTTGTGCCTGTGCTGGGTTGTTAGTACCTGAGGTGGTAGGGATGCTCTCCTTCACCCAGTTTGGCATTAGCAACTGCTGTCACCTGACATGGGCACTGCCTACAGATGGAGTGCTGCTGTGGGGAGAAGGTGACAGGCTGTTCCAGGCCATGGGGAGCCTCTGGGAGCATGGGCTTTTTGAGAGCCAAGTGCTGAACAGTGAGGCAGCTGCTCAGCTCTGGTCACTGACAGTGTCCCAGCCCCTTTGAGCAGGACATCTCTTTGGCTTAAGGAAATGCAGCAGCACACCAAGCAGCTGGTGGATTGAATGTTTGGCTTTGGGGCTGCTCAGACTCCTGGTTGCTGGTTGGGCCTGGAAACATGTGATGAGGCCATCAAATGCAAAGGGGTTTTAGGGCAAACTGTTGTCAATCCTCCCTGGGAGAGGAGTATCTGAAGGTGGTCTTGAGCTGGACTAGCTGGCATAGCCTCTACTGCTGGCCCTGTGGAGCAGGGTTTGGGAAGGCTGTGGGACTCTGCCCCTTGAGCCAAGGCAGCAGAGCTATTGGCAGCAGTTGCTCAATCTGCAGCAGGCAAGTACCCTGTGCTGGTCCATGCAGGAGAAGGAGATGTCTTCCCTTCTGCTGTAGGCTCTCACATCCTGCCTGAGTCACCCTCTCTCTTGGGGATGGATTAGTTTGTGTGACCTCTCCCATAAGTGGGGACAACCAAGTTCCAGCACTGTGAACTCCTTGATGGAGGGTCAGTCCCAACCGAGGCTGCTGGGACCCTGCACTGCTCAGCCTGGGGAGGCAGTTTCTGGTCCCAGGCCCTGCATCTCGTGCCCAGGTTTTGCCCGTGTGTCACTTCCCGCCCTGCTTCCCGTTACACAAAGCCTTTGTGTGTCAGCAGATCCTGGGATGCCCCGCGGCACCTGCCTCTCTCCTCTCTCTCCGCCTCTGTGGCTCTGCCCTTTCCCGTTGTCACTTCTGGAGGCTGCTGCCTGCCTGTTTGGTGACCTTCCCCACTGCTCGGGCAGTATTTTGGCCCCTGGCCATCTTAAACAATTAATGGAGGGGTGGAGAAACTTGCCGTGTTAAATTACTTACTCCTTTGGGAGGGGGTGAGGTCTCTACAATCTCTTGCCTGATCCCAATGCAGTTTGTTGCTGTTGCCTGAAGCGGTCACTGCTCTCTGTTTTCCTTCTAGAAGTTAGAAAAACAATATTTCAGAGCACTCTCCATGTATTTCTCGGCGTTTTACTTAACCTGCGGCGGCGCCTCAGGATCTCGTGGAGCGGAGAAACTTCCCTGGACTTAGACAAAAACAAGCCGAGAGGAGGCAAGGGGAGAGCATTTTGCTGGAAACCTCTTTGGGAAGCTGGAGACCTTCTCGGGACGCCTGCCTTGTTCTCCTCCAGCCGCTATTCAGATCTTCCCGGGCGAAGGCAGCTCCCTGCCACGCCGCGTCCGCATTAAGCGGCTCTGTGCGGCGGGCCAGGCGCTGCGAGGGACGCGGGGAGCAGCGGAGCCCTAAGGAGCAGCCCGGGAGCGCTTCTGGCTCTGCCGTGTCCGTAAGGTCCCCGCAGGGCTGGGGGATGCGGCACCTTGCTCTCGCTATGCCCCTGTGCCGTCCAGCGCTGGAGTTGGCTGTCAGAGAAACCTTCGAGGTCCCCTGCTCAGCCCCGGTAGTGTCATGAGTTAGATTAGTTGGAGCTGTGCTGGGGGCGGTGAGGGCTTGGATTACAGTCCAGAACTCAAAGTGCTTCGGTGGTTCACGTCGGAGGGGAGAGGAGACGCCCCGTCGCACACATGGAGGAAAAAGAGAAAAAACGCTGTCTTTGGAAGTGAGGGGGAATAAAGGAGGCCGGGAACATGGTAAGGAAATCTCAGCGAAGGGCTCTTGCCCTGGGCACGAGCGGGGCTGTGCGGGACGAAGCCGCTCCCGGGACAGCCTGCCTGGAGCCAGCGCACGGCGCTAATGCCGGGAGTGGGAAACAGCTCTTTTGGCATTTCCCGTTACTCGAGTGGCACACCGTACTCTTGGTGCCAGTCCGGGGCGGTGGCTGCAGGGACACAAACTTCTTGTTGGCACTGACCCCTGCGAGCGCCGGAGCGAGGAGCTGGGATGGGTCAGTTCGGGCAGAGCCTTGTCTTTTGTGCTGCCTGGATGCCGGGCTTTCCTCCTGCCCTCACTCTGCCAGTCCTGCTCTGGGCATTGCCCTCTTGCAGAACCTTTTCTCCTGCTCAGGGTGGGCATCCAGAGAACCCCTGGAGCTGGGCAGGGATGTTCCTTTTCGGTGTCAAGTTCTGCACGTGGGAATCTTTGTTTGGAGAGGGGAAAGGATGGTGAGCCCAGTGGGCAGCAGAGCACCCAGACTCCTTGGAGTGGCTGCAGGGCTGTCCCCTGCCCAGTGACACTGGCACTGCCCTGCAAACAGAGGTGCCCAGCCCTGGGCTCTCAGTAGCTGGAGGGATCTCTGGCCCTGTGGTAACACCCCACTGAGCACCAGTCTAGCTTCTGATGGTTTGATCCTAGGCTCAGGCTGAGATCCATGTGCCCAGCAACCCCAAATCTCCTGGAGGTGTCCTGCTATGTTATGGGCTGCTTCCCCACAGCAGAGGGAACAAAATCCATGTGGAGGACAAGTAGCTTGTGTTGCTGCTGTGCCTGGCAGTGCCTTGCCCTTTAAAAGTTCAGCTTCTGAGCCTGCAGAAATTTGTCTTTCATTGAGGGATGAGTTGAATTCTGACTTCTGCAAGTTGGGTGAAGTTTCTAGACCCATATCTTTTCCCTTTACCACCCTTCAGCTCCTCTGCAGAGAATCCTGTGGTGCTCTTTGCCCTCACCTGCCTGTCAAAGCCATGATGTGCTCTCCTCTGCTATTCTTCTGTGGAGGCCTCTCACTTCTACTTCTCCATCCCAGTCAGAAGACCTCTTTCCCTCATCCCATGCCCAGTGTGTTCTTGGCAATTTTTGGCCTATGCAGGTTATATTATGAAGTTGAAATCAAAGGAGAGAACTGCTTGGGACAGGGGTGCAGGGTTGGGGCCATCCCTTGCAGTCTCATGGGCTGCATTTTGCCATAAGGGCTGGAGCAGTGTTTGTGAAATTCTGCCCTTGGAGGCCGGAGGCAGAGACTGGCTGCTACTACTCTTCTCCTTCAAGTTGGAGGTGTCTTTCTGATTCCCAAGTGCTTCAGCCCTGCTCCTTGATGTTGTTTTAATGTGTGATGCAAAAGCTGTGTGAAGCAGGGGGCTTTGTGAGGAGCAGTGCCATGACAGTCCAGGTGGTTGGGCATTCAGGGACTGTGGGTCACTGCTGAGGAGGGATCGTGTGCCTCTCAGGGGCTGAGTGCAGCTGGAAGGAATAGGAACCAGAGGCCAAGCTGCACCAGACCTAGCAGTGAGTGCTGGCCACATTGTGGACACCTCTGGTCCATGGCAGGTATCTGTTCCCAATGTTGTGGTAGACCAATCTACATTTTGGGAGGCGCATTTCTGTGAGCAACCAACTTGTGACTGTAGCTCCAAGCTGTTCTGATTAACTTGAGTTTTTTGTGTCCTGGTAAATCAAACAAACCCTGCAGGCAAAAGATTTGGATCTCGGTGAATGTGTGTCAGTCTGCTGGCCTGTAGGAGACCTTCCATGTCCTCCAGCAGTCTGCAGGACTCTTGGAGACTTGGCTCCTGATGGAGGTCTGGCAAGGCACCACTGCTGGCTCTGTGAGGCAGGTGATTCATTTTCATGGGGTTTCAGTGTTAGAGCTGATGTGTGTGTATGGGTACATAAGGTTGTGGCAGCTGGGAGATGCCCAGAGCACCAAATGGGTGAGACAGCTTGAGCCAAAGTAGCTCACTTCCACTAGAAGTGACTTCTGGAGCTGTGCAAACCCCATGGTGAGAGCAGGGCAGGAGCCTGGCTGGGCTCTGTCTACCTTGCTTACCCATCATGGCTTTTGTAACTTGGGATCTATCTTCATTCCCTGGCATTCCCATGATTTATCATTCCTGGTGCTTCCTGCAGAGAAGTTCTGGTGGCACCTCTGTGCTGGTAGGAGAGAAGATAGGTTTTAGCAGAAAATAGGGTCTTTCTTCCTCCAGTTATGTCTTCTCCCAGGGTGGGAAGGAAATGAGTCTGGGAATCACAAAGAGCTTTAAGCATTGGGGATCTTCTTTCTTTATTTCTGTGCCAAAACCATGAGCAAGATGTTGGAACACAGACAAAGTCCAGAGACATAATCCTGAGCACATGGAAGCAGTTTGAAAGCACCTCCTCTGGGGTAACAAGGTTGACAACTTGCATTTTGCCCAGCTTATTTTCAAAAGCCCTGGGCAGGTGAACATGCCATTCATTGTAACAATAAAAATAATGGCTGAATGCAGGTGACAGGCCAGCTGCATCCAGGTATCTCCCTGTAGAAATTGCCAAATGTATTCTAGTACCACATGGGAGTGGAAGGCAGCAGGTGCTTACAGTGAGACAATGCAGGTATCCAAGGAGGACTCTATGCTGAGTGTCAGCACTTGGGCAGTTGGCACTGAAGGCATACCTTGCTATGGCAAAAGAGATCATAACATGAGAGCCTTGTCAGCATCTCGTGGCTGGTCACTTCAGACAAGATAGCCAGCATGTCTGCCTCTAAATTCTAGAGCACAGGCATGGTGCTCAGCTCACAGAGCCTCATTTTCTAGTTGCATCTCAAACCTAACCCTGTCTGCAACCAATCTGTGTAAAATTTTTACCATCCTACAGGCTGTGCACAGCCTTAACCTGAGCATTGGTGCTGAGTGTGGGTGGAAGTCACATCACAGGGACTACAGGCTCCTTTAGCACTGAAGTGTTGAAAAAATCTCTGTTGAAACAATCAAGGTGTCCTACAGAAATTATAAACTGAACCCACCTGCAGGCACTTGTATCAGAGCACTTTTTGTTCCTCTTCTTGGCTGTTAATTCATGATGGAACCCCCTGTTCCAGTCCTGCAGAACTCAGTGTTGCCAAGGTCTGAAAAAGTGAGTAGTAGCACTGGGACCAGACGTGTTGCTGACTGAAGAGCAGTAAAAAGCAAGGAGAGCTTACCAGGGTAAAGCTGCCCACTTCTGGCCATGGGATACTCTGTGTTTTTTGCACTACTCATAGTACCTGGTTTGCAGCTCAGAGAAGTGAGTAGACATGCCCTTGTTGATTCTGAAGGTTTGGCCGTGCTTGTACCTCTCTGCCACACCAAGTGCCTCATCTCTGTTGGCTGGCTTAGTCTTTCATTAAAATATTAACAAAAAATGGGGCCTTTCTTGTGGTAAGCGCTGGTTTCATATGTATCCTATTTTTTGCATCACTGGACACCAAGCTGAAACTTCCAAGATCAAAGCAGCACAGAATGAATCTGAAAATCTTTCTGTCTGCTCAGATTTGCCATCCTGCCATCAGCCTGGGAAGCCCAGGATGAACCCTTGCTTCACTGGTGCAACCAGCATTGATTTCAAATGGCTCAGCTGAAGAGAAGACTTGCATGTGCTCCTCCTGGACACTGATGGATGGGGTAAAGGGGATTCTCCACGGGGCCTTATGGTCCCCTGCAATGGGGCACACTGCTGTGGCCGGATAGTGGTTTGCATGCCGCAGAGAAGGAAAGCTGCTGGAGTTCTGATGACCTTAGCTAGGTGTCCACCTTGAGCTTTGCAGCCTGGTTAGGTGTGGCAGAGGCTTCCTGAGCAGGTTCCTTCAGGAGGATACCTTCCCTGAGGCTGCCTGTCAAGTCTCAGTGCTTCCCAACAAAACCCCAGCATTGCTGAGCCTCCATCATGGTTAAAGGATGTGGGTTATTTGCTGTCTGTTGTCATCTTGCTGAATACATTTACCTTTTGAACAAGGTCCCTCTCATATGTTCAGGAGGCTGGTATGCAGGCCCGTTAATGGATCAAGGGGAAAAATGCCTGTGGATGTATTCTCCTTTGTGTTTGGGCTTATAACCACCCACGTTTTGGCATACATCCCTTCTGTGCACAAAGATCTTTTAGAAATTGCTAGTTAAATCTCCACCCTCCTTTGATATGTATGGAAATAATGGGGCACGTGAGACTGTTTTCTGTTTGGAAAAAAAAAAAATCTATAAAGGGAGTAGCTTTAAAAGCCTGTGTTCACCCCTTTCTAACTCGTGAGTTTAATGAAAGAAATGCCCTGAATTTATGACTGATTTACTTTGCTTTCCGGGAGGCATGCATTTAATGTTGTATCCAAATACAGGGGAAATGTTTTCATCTGAATCTGTCCCAGGTTTGCTGCTTAGGGGCAGGAGAACTTGAGCACACGTGTCTGTTCCCCAGTGAACTCAGAGAGTCTTGGAACAAATCTCGGTCCCCCTGACCAGGAACACTTCTCCCCTCTTCAGCACAGACTGATGCTTCTTGGAGTGGCCCATGGCTGAGCTGGCATAACCATGGACATCTCTGAGCTGCCTGCTCTGTCCTGCTGGCTCCTCCTTCCTCACAGCCCCTTCCTAAGAGGCATCTGATGACTGCTGCTGAGTGCTTCTCCTATGAATGGTGTGCAGGGATGTGCTCCTCCAAGGAAGGTCCTTCTACACTTACTGTGTTCCCATGTGCTCAGCCATCCCCTCCTGGAATTGCAGCTCTGCTTCAGAGCAGTTTCTGTCCCCCTCTGACATAGCAAGACTCATATTTCATGAGCACATGGTAACACAGTGTGTTTAAGGCCAAAAGGAACTATGGCTCATCTGTTATGGGATATTGGGACTGTAGAGTGTCACCTAGCTTCCATATGGAGTCTGGGAGCTCTTTAACTAAAAGAGGATATTTTTTCTGTGGCATCCACCCTCAGTTATGTAGGTTGCAAGACATGGAGAATCCACCAGTCCCC